TCTGCCCTTGCGCTATGCTACTCTGCTGCTGAGTATGCATGCCCAGTGTGGAACACATCTCACCACATTAAACAGGGGATGTGGCTCTTAATGAGACATGCTGCATTATCACAGGGTGTCTGGAGAAATTCCACTGTTTACCCAGCATTGCACCACCTGACATCTGCTGGGAAGTAGCAGCCAATAGTGAAAGGACCAAGGCAGTGACCTCTCCAACCCATCCCTTGTTTGGGTATCAGCCAGCACGTCAACGACTTAAATCAAGAAATAGTTTTCTAAGATCTACAGAGACACTCGCTGGAACACCTCGGCAAGCGAGAGTCCAAAAGTGGCAGGCTCAAACCCAGCACCTCAATCAATGGCTGACACCAAATGAGAGACTCCCCCCTGGACACACAGAAGACTTGGAAGGTGCTGAACAGACTGCGCTCTGGCACCACGAGATGCAGAGCCAACTTTCAGAAATGGGGCCACAAAGTGGAATCCTCGACATGCGAGTGTGGAGAAGAGCAAACCACTGACCACCTGCTGCAATGCAACCTGAGCCCTGCCACATGCACAATGGAGGACCTTCTCATGGCAACACCAGAAGCACTCCAAGGGGCCAGATACTGGTCAAAGGACATTTAATCAACTACCAAGTTTGTAAAATTTGTGGGTTTTTTTATCTGTTTGTTTGTTTTGTTCTGTTAGAAATGTAATACAATGGTCTGGTTGCTGATGACACGATAAATAAATATCCCTTTTATGCTGGGCACATGACCTTGGAGGTGTCTATGGACAACACTGGCTCTTTGCTTTCAGATAGCCACTGGTCTTGGAAAGTTTATGGGGAGAGATATGGGGATTTTACTATATCTTGGTGAGCGGGCAACTTACCTGTCCGCAGAGCCCCAGGTGTTTTTGCGTGGGCTCTAAGGAGAACATGAGATCCCCGCATTGTCCCCACAGGGCCTCCATCTCTTCCGGGTGGTCCTTGAACGCCTGGCTCTTCCACACCAACTGCTTCAGCTTCTCCTATGGGCAAAAAAGGCCAAGAAGACTTATCGGAGTGATACAGACAAAGGGCATCATGGCTGGAGAAGGGCCATCATCATGGTCTGGGATTCAATCAGCTGATTTTAGGATTCAATCAGCTGATCAGTCAAATGATCAATTAGAATAGGGTTGGACTAGATGGCCTTTGGGGTCTCTTCCAATTTTAGGATTCTAACCCTTCAGCCAATGAGACAAGTTAATAGGAACGGTCCTCTCTCCGTTCAGGCCTCCCATTATGCAGATGACTTTGAGCTCTCACCTTGGGAAGGTTGGGGACAAATTTGGTGTCCCCAAAGGACTTGTAGTTGCCCATGTTGGCGTAGACGGCAGCAGCATAAACCAGGAAGGCCTGCAAGAGACAAGGCTCTTAATCAAGGTGTCGACCATAGACATTGGAATAAATACGTCTCCAAAACTATCACCATCCCCATCACGATCATAACAAACAACGAGTTCCATGATTACGTGGCTCTTTCTTCTGCTAAACATTGGAAATCTTACTTAGGCGATCTTATTTACTTACTTAGGCAATCCCTTGTAGTCCGAGGATGATGGTCCTCCAAGTGTAGTATCCTGGAGGTAGGACCATAGGTGACTGTGGAGCCCTCTTCTTGACCTGCATCTTCTCCCACAGTGAGGGCATCGGTTTCCAGGTAGAAGGCGGTTCCGGTCAGGGTTGGCTTTCTGTGCCTTCCTCTTGGCACGTTTCTCTCTTTCGCCCTCCATTTGTGCCTCTTCAAATTCTGCAGCACTGCTGGTCACAGCTGACCTCCAGCTGGAGCGGTCAAGGGCGCGTCAAGCCAACCTTCCACCTGGAAACCGATGCCCTCACTGCGGGAGAAGATCAACAATAGGGCTCCACAGTCACCTACAGTCCCACCACCAGGATACTATGCTTGGAGGACCATCATCCTCGGACTACGAGGGATCGTGTAACTAACTAACAAATGACTTGCTCAATGGGGAACCCCTCTTGGGCTAGAACCCTCGGCCTCCAACCTACCACACTTCCCCGCTGCTGGGTAGAGCGACTGTCCCACTTGGAGGACCATCATCCTTGGACTACGAGGGATCGCCTAAGTAAGTAAGTACGTGGGGATGCTAATTTAACTAATTTATGACACCATAAAACCTTCCAGTAGCGTGCAGAAGAATGAGGAAGTACTCAATCAAAGGACTCAGCATCACATCCCCTCGGCTGTGGAACGCCCTTCCCATGGACATTAGATCAGCTCCTACGTTAATGGTGTTTCGAAGAAAA